GCAGTCGCTGTCCGGCGTCCGGTCACGGAAGCTGCACCTTTGATGGATCGCCGGCCGCCGCCCGGCGCCGCCGAGAAAGCCGGTCCCATCGCGGCAGATAACCCAATGGTGCCGCCGGCAGACTGACACACAAACGGCGGCACGGACCGCGGCGCATCGGTGCCACCGACCGGCGCCGCCCCTCACCGTAATTCGGCAATTCGTACAGGTAACTGCCTTGCGTGCGTGCACCGGTAGTCAATAATGATTCCGTAAAACTATGAGTTGATTGGAGAATGCTGAATGACCGTTGGGGTGTAACTTTCCCTACTCGTGTTGGGCAGGAAGCTGGCGGTGCAGGGCTCATCGGAGCGCCGGCGGCCAGTCGCAGTCCGGGCGGCCCGTGCAGCCTGCGCTCGTCCTCCCTCACCGCTCTGCAGGCTCATTGTCGAGAGCAGAGCAGCCCGGCCGGGGCAGGGGCGCCAAGCTCAGGTTTAAATTGCCGGCCTGGCCGAGCGGGCGGCCATTTGCCTGTCTGGATGTTTAATAATTTCAGGGTCGATTGCTTCTGTATGGAGAGGAGCGCTGTAGGCCAGGAATGCGCCATTAGAGCTGGGCCCACCGCGGCCGGCCGGTGGGTGCACGGTGAGTCGTGCTGTGCTCCGCCACTCTGCCCTGCTCCCCGCTCTGTCCGGCCGGCAGGTGTCAGCGCTGCGCCTCCGTCTCCGCTGCCAGTCTGGCCGACGGCCTGACTGAGACGAGCCTCGCTTTCTACTGGAAAGCGGCCCTGGAGCCACATCGGCCATGCACGCGGCCGCCGTAACACCGTCGGCTGTCAGTTGGCTAGACGCGTCCCGTCAGCAAAAAGATGCATCCGCACCGCTCCCCGCCTCCTCTCGAATATATGCATTGGTCTGATCATAAGCAGCTCACATTCCATCGGGCTCACTCTGGCGCGCCGGTTACAGCACGAGAGCACGAGCGGCCCGCGGGCTCCGACTGAAACCAGCGACATTCCTGGCGCTGACGACCTTGTCCGGCGGCTTCACCGACGAGACTTCCCTGTCCCGCATTCCCGGCCGGGCAGCGGCCGCGCCGGTGGCCCAGAACGGAGCTGACACCGCCGGCCGCTGTCGGGAGCGTGCCGCCCGCCTCCCAGAGCGTCCCGCGAGAGATGGCCGTGCCGACCAGCACCGCACCACCGCCGCCGACGACCCACGGCCGATCCGGGCCGGCCGAGCCGCTGCCGAACCTGTTTGGACCTCCAATCGGCTGCTACAGTCCGGCCAGCAGCACGACTCGCTCACTGAACCGTCTCCGGTCGCCAGGGACGGGACCTGGCACAGTCCCTCCAGAGAGCAGGCCAGCGGCAGGGACGGCCTCCCGTCGGGTCGGACAGTGACGAGGTGTCAGATTTGAAACTGACGATCACAGCTGTCCGCCCCACTCTGGCTCAAGAGGGTCCGGTTCCATCTGGCCGACACATTCCTGGGATGCCGGCCAGAGGCGGCGGCAGCGATGCGGTAGCCGCGCTGTCGGAGGCTGGGAGCGGACGCTGCCGGGACTGGTCGACGGAGAGAGCCGGGCTCCATCGGGCGGCGGGCGGAGGGCGGCCGGCGGGCGCGGGCGCTGCAGCCTCCCCGTCCGGCGTCCGCCGCCGCCTCCCTCCCAGAGAGAGAGGGAGAGGCCTATAATCAGCGGGCGGCGGGCAGTGCCGGCGGCCGGTGCACGCGCCGACGCCGGCCGCCGCGCGCCGCCCACGGCCCTCCCCTGAGCCGCGCCGCTCGGCCGACAAAGAGCGTTCGGCGGCGCTGTGCCGCCCAGCCGGGCGCGGCGCATCATTAGCCGGGCCGGCGCCGGCGCCGCCGACCGCTAACCACAGAGTGAGTGTCTCGGCCGGTCACAGTCGTCATCACGGCCGCCGGCCTCGGTCAGTGACACCGTTCCCGTCGGAGCGCCGGAGCGGGGCGCGGAGACCTTCGAGCCGAGGAGGAGCGGCCATAGGGGCCGGCAGCGCTAAGGGGCTACGCTACCCACGGCCGCCACCAGCCCCAAGGGAAGTCCAGAACACTGAACCGCCCACAGCTATACCATTTGCCAGCGCCAAACGAGTAGAATCAAAACCAGTAGCGGTGATTCTTTTTCGTTGGTTATTTTGCTGACATGAGTGTCTATCATATTGTGTACAAATGTAGCCAATGCTCCAGCAGTACTAAGCCCCGGCGCTATGCAGGGATGACATGTGGGACGATCACGCCCAGCTCAGCGTGAAAAATGTAGGAGAGAGTCGGCATCCGAATGAGCGGGAGCCGACGCCTGGGGAGAGAAGTCAGTCCTCATGATGTCGGGAGACACGGCCAGAGACAGAGAAAAAGAGGCGGCTAACAAACGCATCTGTCTTGTTATTCTCCGCTTTCGCCCGTGGGTTCTCTAACAAGCGCTGTGAGCGCGGGCAGGCCGCCGGCTCTGGCAGTTATTCAGCTTCTAGCCGGTGATTAAGCTGCCAGCGCGCCGCACGTCGGGGAAACGGGCGCCGCAACAAAACACCAGCCGGCGCGGCTGACGTCACCGACGGGGCTGCGTGCGCCGGCCGCGCGCAGACGCCCGGGACCCGGAGCCGGGGCCGGAGACCAGCAGCTCCGGCCGGCCGGCCACCGCGGCCAGACAGCCGTGTGACGATCCAGCCGCTCGGCCAGGCGCACCGGCCTCTCCGTCCAACTGGAAAAGGGGATCAATGGGCCCTGCTCGGCGCCGCCAAAGAATGCCGCTCGAGCATGAGAGCCTGTCGGGCCGGCGTCCGCAGCTGAGCGGCGCCCGGACGGCCGGGCCGTATCGACGGCCGAATCACGCTGTCGGCCAAAGGTCGGCGGACAGGCGCCTCCTGGCCGGCCCCACGCTCTTCTCATACCGGATCCCGGCCATTGGACCAGGAATCCCGCCGGTAAATGAGAGGAGCTCGGACGGATGACCAAAGGAACTTTGTCAAACACTGTCATTTGCCGCTACAATTACAGACAAATCTGCGCTTTAATTACATAGAATTACCCGGGATCAAAGACTGCGATGCCCAGTCAGAAGTGTAGGTTTCGTTTCCCACAGGAAACGAGGCATCAGTAAATTGCGGGTTTCATTTGAAACCGAAAACAAAAGTTATTAGTCGAATGACAGAGCAGAACGGATGCTCAAAATTTGCATTTGACCTTACCATGACATTTCAAAATTTTACCGCAGCTCTGTGAACTGCTAACGATAAAATAACAAGTAGAATAATAAATAGCAAGAGTACCTCGACAATTCAGACAGGCAGAAATGTCTTCGCCTAAAAACTTTTGGCTGAGTTGTTCAAAAACCAATTCAGCTGCTTAGAATGCGCCGCCTGCAAAATTACCATACCAGCCGCACTTTTGCGTGTGTCATGCCATCGGACCCTGTTTTATTAGTGTGTTTAGTTGCGCCCAACATAATCGTAACGTGCAATATGTGCCACATTGAGCGGTGTCATCACAGCCCAACACGCTCGGCTGCTGCGGCACAGTTTGGATGTGACCGCCTTTAGTTCTTTGTCCGTCCGTCCGTCCATCCGTCTGTCACCGTTTCCTCTGCCGGTACCGGTGACACCGGACGAGGGCGGCTGTCGTGCTGCGGTCGCGCCGGCCGATCGTGGGAGCCGTCCGTCCGTCCGTCCGTCCGTCGGTCCGTCCGGGTGGTCGCTGCGGTGCCCAGAGGTCGGCCGGCCGGCCGGCGGCGGTCAGGGGTCGGGCCGACGCCGCGCTCCCCAGTCCGTCTCTGTTTGTCCTCGGACGCGACACCGCTCATTATCAGTTCACTCTGAGCCTGGCAGCGCCGTCCGGCGGCCGCCGTGTCGCCCGTTTGAAAAACAGCCGGCGGCGGCGGCGGTGTGCCGAGCGTCAGAGTGGGGGCCGTCCGTCCGCGGCCGACCGCGGCGGCTGATTAATCGGCGGGGCACTAATGACCGGTCTGTCACGGCAGGACGGCGCAGCGGAGAGGACGGTGCGGTGGACAGCAGGTGCGGGGGATAAAGCAGTACGGAGGACAGGACAGTATGGCGGACACAGGACAGGACAGTATGGCGGACACAGGACAGGACAGTATGGCGGACACTGGACAGGACAGTATGGCGGACACAGGACAGGACAGTACGGCGGACACAGGACAGGACAGTATGGCGGACACTGGACAGGACAGTACGGTGCGTTAGACAGGACGGCGGGCGCAGCTGTATGTACGGAGCAGTGGACACAGGACACTGGACAGGACAGCAGTTAGCACAGCGGACGAGGCCGCGGTACACGAAAGAGGGTGGTCGAGTGGAGAAGATTCAACCGGCTGGGTGCCGTGGGAGCCAGTAAAGATGGAAATGGCTTCAGCGGCGTGGGACGGAAATAATGGGAAATAATGGGTTCGGCTGGGTCAAATGGATCGGAATGAGCCGACGAACACAGAAGATCAAAGGAGGCAAACCCGGATAAAGCCGCCTACATGTCCGTTCTGAAAACCCGTAGAACAATTAGCATTGTACGAGCTTACAACAGATAATCATTGGACTCGTTTCAGCCCAATCTGTAGCGAAGAATTTACAAACAGTGTTCGATAGACCAGCCAACATGTTGAGCTGCGTGAGTGCCCGCGTGTGACTGCTTTCGTCTGCCGAGGGTGGAGGGCTGTTACTCGCCCGCTGCTGGGGATACGGTGACGCCTCCACTCAGGCGTGCTGCTGTCTTCTCTTTCACTCGGGAAGCGCAAACAGATGGTGTGGAGAAAGCCACCTCAGCTATCAGATAGCCGTCTGAGCCACTCTGGTACCGCCCTTCACCGCCTCACACCGCCCTCCGCCACCGCCCGGCTTCCAAACTCGGTCCGGCCCGGCCTCCGAAGACATCAATACGTCCAAACAGACCCATCCAGGGCGGCTTCGGAGTCGCCCGCGCCGCCCCGGCCGCCGCGCCGGTCTGCCCTCCCGACCTGCGTCCATCCCTACCCGTCCGGACTGGTGTGGAGAAGGAAATCATGCCTCCCACTCCCGATGGAGGCCCCAAATGTCGGACCCCCCTTTTTTGTATCTGTCTGGGTGTCTGGGGCGCATAGCGACACGGGACCGCCGGCTCGCTGGCCGGCTGCCCGTCCGGTCACGTGCTTGCGTCCCGACACCCACCATAAAACCATGTTCTTCGGAAATACACTCTCTCACTTCTCCTCTACCGACTGTGACGCCAACACCATCCGCGGACCCCGGCTCCGACGAGGGCGGCCGAAATGGCCGGCCCACAATTGGTGCCAGCGGTGGTGGTTGGTTGTCGGTGGAGGACTTTTGGCTTCAGGTGAGTTCTCTTTAAATCAATTTCATTTGCTATTTGTAATGTTTGAAATTTGAGATTTATATTTAGTTTCACTCATTTATCTATGTTATTTTTCCATTATTTAGTAGGCTAACCATGGAAGATGCTACCAGGAATTTTAGTGTTGAGTACAATACCCAGATGAACGATATTTTAAGGCGAATTGCTCATTTAGAATTAGCTGTAGCGGAAGAGCTTGTTGCTCAACAAAATCAAAATCCATCACAATCTCAGAGCCGAGGACGTGATCGTCAATCTCGTCAGCAAAAATACCGTTATCCACCTGTTCGCTCGAAATCACTTCACTCTTCGCATCATTGCTGTCAAGAAACTAGTCATTATTTTTCAAATTCTTATCACCATGAATTTTCTAGCTCTCACCGAAACTTTTCACCGCGTCGAAACTGTCGTTCTCTGAGCCCAAACGGGTTCCGCTCACTGCACTAGGGGATGAGTGCGTGAGCGTCGCTTCAGATGACAGGGACCGTTCAGCACATCCCCCGGTTTTACGTGACGTCAAAATTTCGGGTCAAACTTGTTCAGCTCTTTATGATAGTGGAAGTAGTGTCTCTTTAGTTTCAGAAAAATGTCTGCAAAAATCTGGTTTAAAAGTAGCTTACGAACCTCCCAGTGTCTCTATTCTTGATGTTACTGGAAATCCTATTGACGTTGTAGGTGAAATCAATCTGAACATTAGCATTCTTGGTCAAACGGTTCAACACAAATTTTTCATTTCAGCAAAAAGTTTGCCATTCAAATGCGATATCATTCTCGGAATCGATTTTATCATTGCTCACAAATTGATTTACAATCCATCGAGTCGTACGGTGCACTTTCTAAAACCAATTCTTTCTTCCAATGTAGTCGAAAGACGCTCAAAACGTCTGAGTCCCAAAAGACGTAAAAGAGTACGTTTTCTTTTATCAACAAAGGACAATGAAAAATCTGTAGATCAAATCGTTTATCCTGATAAAACGGTAGACATGTTCACAACTGCAGAAAAACATGCATTGACTATTGATGACGAAAAGTCATATCCATTATTCGTGAAACAAACAGTAGAAATTTCTGGTTACAGCGAAAAATTTGTACGCGTAAAATTACCACATTTTCTACAACCAAATGATTTTCCATACCTAATTCAAACGCATTGTGATCAAAGTATTCGAGACATTCAGGTGGCCCGTTCTATCAATTTCTTGGAAAATTCAGGCACGCTTGTACGCGTGATTAATGCTTCAAGTAACCCAATCATTTTGAGAAGAAATCAGAGAATCGCACAAGCCCATCCGACCAAAAAGTACCCCATCAGTCAGGTCACAGACCGACCCCATCCCACCAGACAGAACGCTGACCTTGCTCAGTACCATGGGTCAGTCAGTGCCAACTGTCAAACAGCGCCGTCTGTTCCCAATTCCGCCAGCGTCTCGCCAGAACAAAAAACGGTCGCTGGGCCGGACTTGGCTGCGTCAGACACCGGACGCAGAACAGAGATAAACAACCCGACGACCTCTATCCCGAGGACGTCAGGGCACAGGTCTGTCAGTGACATTGATTTGAAACACATCCCAATACACTTTCGTTTTAAACTCCGTGAACTCTTAGACAAACATCGACATGTCTTTGGAAACGATATTTCTGACATACAACAGACAGATGTCTACAAAAATCACAATGGATTCACAGACCACACTCCGGCTGATCAACGAACAAGTCCCCCATTTGCTAATCGGGAGATAACTAAGGAAGATATAAAACGCATGGTAACAGCCAGAGTTATCAAACAATTAGTTTCACCATATAACTCTCCAATCATTCTTATCAAGAAATCAAATGGTCAATATCGCCTCGTTTCAGATTTGCGACTTCTCAACTCCAAAATCAAGGATGACAAGTTTTCTCGTTCATTTACATCACAGGTCAAAGATCAACTTTCTGACTGTGAAGTTTTCTCTACCTTGGATTTGCTTAGTTCATTCTACAAAATTTCTTTGAATGAAGCTTCAAGTCATTCTACTGATTTTACAAATGATGACGACAAATATCATATGAACGATAAACCAATGGGCCTTCGTTCAAGTTCCTCCGTTCTCAACAGAGGTTTGCAAATTGCACTCAGTAGTCTTCAAGGCATAGATCCATTTCTATATATTGACAATATTCTTATCGCTAGCAAAACATACGACGAGCATTTAGAAAAACTCGACAATATATGTTCTCGTTTAGAAGAAATTCATCTTGTGATCAACCCCGAAAAGTGTGAATTTATGAAATCTCAGGTAAAGTATCTGGGTTTCATACTTGACAAACATGGAATTCGTCCAGATGCATCCAAATTACAAGCGGTACAAGATTTTCCTGTACCAGAAACAGCGAAAGATGTTCGTATTTTCCTTCGGTTTGCGAACTATTATCGCAGACACATTCCAAAACTGGCTGAGCTTACTGCTCCGTTAATTCATTTGACAAAGAAAAATGTTGATTTTATTTGGTCAAAAGAGTGCGAAAGAGCATTCTCATCGATAAAAAGGTCACTACGAAAATGCACTTTATTAAAATTTCCAAATTTCGAAAAAGACTTCTACCTATTTACACATACAAGTGATTTCGCCATTAGTGGCGTACTTGAACAAAAATATGGTGATGAATTTCACCCAATCGCTTTTATTAGTCGACAGCTTAGCAAAGCTGAAAGAAATTATTCTACTTCAGAAAAGAAATGCCTCGCAATTTCATGGTCTTTTGATCATTTGCGATCTTATCTTTTAGGTCATGTCACTCATGTCATGACAGATCATTCACCATTAAAATGTATTTTCAAGTCCTCATCTTAGCGGTCGTTTAAAGAAATGGTTAGTGAAACTATCAGAGTATGATTTTGATGTCACTTATCTACCAGGTATTTTGAATGTTACAACTGATCATTCGTCTAGTGCCGAATTAGATACACAAAACAAAGCAGACTTTCTTGGCCATGTCTGTGCAGAAACCGCAGGATGGACAAAAGAGAAAATCAAAGCTGAACAGAGAAAAGACCCAGATTTGATGCCAATCATTGATCGCCTCGTGAAACCGAAAGCTAAAGGCCCTGATCTGAAGCTGAATGAATCTCTTTCCAATTTTTTCTTAGGTACAGATGGCCTACTTTACCATGTAGCCAAACAAAATTCCAAGATTCGTCAGTTTATGAATCAACTTGTAGTTCCAAATTCAATGAAAAAACTGATGCTTGAGAAAGTCCATGACACTTTTTCGTCAGGACAAAAGTTATTTAGAAACATTCTTTCCAAAATTCGAGTTCAATTTTACTGGAGGAACATATACTCCGATGTCAAAAGGTATGTAGACTTCTGTCGTTTTTATGTGAACCAAGGTGCTCACAGATTTTGGAAATGTGCACCAAGGCAGTGCACAAGTACACAAGAGCACCCTAACATCAATCGTCAAGAAGACGATCAAATCGACACCTGCGTCGACTCACAGTCTCTCAGCAACGAATCTGCCATTCGTTCCGTGGGTAATGCCTCACAGAGCAGCAACAACGGTGCACGTTCACCTGTTACACTGCCGGCAAAGCCAGGGACGTTGGTGACTCCTTCTGAAGAGAATGGGATCGACCAGAGTGATCTTACACGGCTGGAGGAAGATTGGCGAAATTGTCGAGCAGGCCGAGAGGTTAGTCAGGCTGATCACCTGCGGTATAACCTCTGGTCTCGCAAAAACATACGCCCCCCAGACCGTCAAGAAGGAACATAGCGCTCACATAGCGCCCATTTAGCGCTCAAATATATTATTTGCCTGCAGAAGACATGCTGCGTTACAATGAGGTTGACGAGGTCCCTCCCGCGCATGTAAATAGCCGACGTACGGCCAAAAATGGTGACAGAGATCCCATTTCACGTGATGCGAACGAAGGTTGATTATTACGTCCCTCGCGCACACCGCCAGCCAAAGGCTGAGCAAAATGGTTTACTCAATGTAAACGGAAGAGAGCAATTGCAATTTCATTGAGCTCAATTCATTGTAAGTAAAGCATCCACGATATATATGCTAGTATGAGAGGTGAATGATTCTCATTTGTATGATTGCCAAAACCTATGTTGTCGCTTGCTGTTGCCATTTTTCATTTCTTTACATATGTTGCAATGTCAAAAATGGCTTGATACTGACACATTAGCCCTGTTTCTTTTTCAGGTTCGTGCTTTTTGTGGCGGAACGAGTGCAGCGTTAAATAATACCCAAAGGACATGCATGCTTCTCGATATTCCCGATTAATTAACAGTATACTTTATCGAACTAACTACTGATTAGCTTTAATTTTGGTCATCTGGTAAAAAAAAAAAACGACTTCTATAACATTGACCAATAACTTTTGGCCATTCTGAACAATTTACACCAGCGAAAGTAATAAGTGGCAATAAAAAATTGTCCACAGAAAGTTGCCAATTCAACTATTTACCAGCGATATAACTACATTAGAAGTATTGCTGTTTGCATGTCTTCCCAAACGATTTCACGGGTATGACGTAATACACAGATGCACTCGTTCAGAAGACGCCACTCTTTAAAAGGACTTCATTTTTTTTTCAACCGTATATTTTTTGTATTAAACAACGAAGTAAGTTCTAACACAATAGTTAGATATTCCAATAACACTTTAACCCACTAAAAACATTGGCCTCTTCAATTTATTCGTTAAAGTAAGTCACTTGGCAGTACTATTAAAACCGGTCTTTTGCTAGTCATTGGCTCATTAGCCCCATTTTTTTTTCTCCTTACTACTCACTTTGCGACGTAAACGATCTCTCGATCGACTGACCGGCGGTACTGCCCGTTTTTAACAATCATTCAATGTTTTGCTATCCGCTGTGTCAAAAACATGTCTTCCGTGTCATTTATACCATGATGTCTTCCAATGAATGTTCAGCCTTCACAAAGTTCATGCTGCCCTTTTATCACACAGTTGTTATCACACACCAGGGAAAATGTATCACTGACCGGCACAGCGATAGCACAACATTATAATAAAGTGTGTATGTGGATGCATGTTTGAATACTTGGACACGGAAACAAATTCGAATGTCCTACGGACCCGAATGTTTTGGCCTTTGAAAGTCCATGGGTTCCGTCAACGCACGCCTGGGGAAGCATTACGACACTTGTGTCGCCCAGTGCTACGTGCCTTTTGTACAAATGTTGTAATGTACAGCTGTAAATATGAATGACTGTTTTGTATGATGTATATATTGGGGCATTGTTTCGGCACATTTTAATTCGGTTCTTTTTCTATTACAGACCTTGCGTTTCTGTTACCCATCTGGGAGTGGCCACTATCTGACTCCCCGAGCATCGACTACGGAGAAACGCCGATACGCATCACGGTCTGCAAAAGCTGGCTGATGATAGTCATGATGGGATCGGATGCTCATCGCCGACCCGTCAGGCTGTCTCAGTCGCTCTGCATCTGGTCCACGAATCACGCACTGCAACTGCGGACGCCATCACCGACTGCAACGGCTGCAACTGCAACCAGCAGGTGGCCTAGGTCCAAAGCCAACGCCTGGCTGACCCACATGGCCGCCTGCCGTCGCTGCTACCCGTCTGCGCTTCGTGCTTCTCTGCTCTGTCAAATCGTCTCGTCAACGTCGTCACCAGTGCCATCCGCCATCCACATGGATGTGCACACCATCGTCGTCACCAACGTTGTCGATCAACATCAAGGAGACCAGCACCCCGCAACCGGTTCATCTTCTTCCGGTATGCTGAAGCCCTCTGGTATCGATGCTGTGCGGCGGCAGCCGTTGCTCAACGACGATCGAGGCCTCATCGTCACGGCACCCACGACCGCTGCCCCTCACGATCAAGTCGGACGTCAGCATCCAACCCGCAGAGGTGCCTGGTTCCACGAATCGACAACGAATCAACAACGCGGCGACGATGACGACGACGACGACAAGAACGAGACCAAAAACTCGGACAGCAGCAGCAGCAGCAGCAGCAGCACCATCAGCAGCAGCAGCGACAACAGCAGTTGCACCAGTAGCAGCAGCAGCCGTACCTGCAGCAGCAGCAGTCGTACCTGGCGTTCCATGCGCGGTGTCATACGTGGATCTATATGCAGTTAGGATCGTGATTGCTTATTGGTCGCCTCCTTTTGTCGGCTTGTTGGGGGAGGAAAGATATGTGGAGAAGGAAATCATGCCTCCCACTCCCGATGGAGGCCCCAAATGTCGGACCCCCCTTTTTTGTATCTGTCTGGGTGTCTGGGGCGCATAGCGACACGGGACCGCCGGCTCGCTGGCCGGCTGCCCGTCCGGTCACGTGCTTGCGTCCCGACACCCACCATAAAACCATGTTCTTCGGAAATACACTCTCTCACTTCTCCTCTACCGACTGTGACGCCAACACCATCCGCGGACCCCGGCTCCGACGAGGGCGGCCGAAATGGCCGGCCCACACTGGGACCGGGCCGGCTCCACCCCCTGTCCAGCCCCGGGCCGCTCGGGGCCGGGCGTCGCGCCGACCGGCCGCTCATGACTATGCATCAGCAGACGATGCGTGTGGCCGGGAAGCGTCGCCCGCGGAGCGCGTGCGGCCCGGCGCCGCGCAGCTGGCGGCCGTTCACAGCCGGCCCGCCCGCCGTGACCCCGGTCGGGTCAGCGTTGGGAAACCGAGCCGTCACGAGCGGCGCCAATTGTCGCCGTGGCCCGGTGAAAGGTCGCGGTGTGGCGGGCCGGGTGAGGCGCGGGTCACACCGTGCGACACAGCGCCGGCGACCGCGTGACGCCGCTCGGAGTGTACTGTCGGCGGACCCCACGCGGGGTGATTTGTCGGCCGGCAGTGTCCGCGGTGTGGTGACCGCCTCAGCACCGCGGCATGTGGGCAGGGGAGGCGCGCTGCAGCCTCCGCCCGAGCGACACGGCGTCCTCAGCCGTGCCAACAGCCTGATGAATATTGAACAGCCATGTGAGCACCTCGCAGTCGTGTTCTTGTCGCGCGCTCACCAGCGGGTGGCAGTGAGGCAGGCCGATACCCGCTCGGCGGTACACTGACACACACATACACACGTGTCGTGCATCTGCAGTCGGCAGAGGCGGCCCACTTGGCGCCGTCCGCTGCGCGCAGCCGTGTCCGGGCGCCGGCCGGTCACCGGGCAGCCGACAGCCCGGCTCGCACAATGGCACGTCGACGGCGGCGACCGGCGCTGCAGTCATTTGTCTCCGTCCGGCCACCGACGTCGGCGCGCGGGACGACGGCCGACGCCGGCCAGAGTGCACTCGGCCGGCATTGTATGCTGATGGGGGACGGACAACGGCGTCAGCGGCACATTCCCGCGCCCGCCGCGGCCCGCAAAGCAGCGGTGACCGCACGAACTCGGTGACATCGACCGGCACGGATGGCAGGTAGTGAACGGGGGTAGTCGCAGTGGTGGGGAGAACGGCATAGAGATCTTCCTAAAATGATAGACAAAAACCGGTTAACTGTGAGAGAAACAATCGGCATCTTCTAAACCGCACCACAGTCAGTGTTCTCACGTTATGAACGGAAACAAAGAAATGGCGGGATCTTCTATGAAGTGCATGGATAGAACCAGGTAATATATACAGCAGTAGGTCAGTAACAGCCTTGAAGGCTGTAATGGGAAAACAGTCGCGGCAGCTGCTGAAGGGCAGACCGAGAACAAACCCAGCCCCAACTTCTCGGACAAAGGCGCGGACAAGTGCTATTACCGAGGGGTTCGCGCAAAGAATGGGGAGCGGCCAAAACCTGACAGGGCCAAAGACGGAAAGCTGGTCGTCCGTGGGACGAACGATGGTGTCCGCGGAGATTTGGTAGCACCGCCATTTGTCACCTCAGCACGCTGAGGTCATCTGTGTGGCTGACGTCACTGGCCGGCTGGCGACAAGTGGACGCGCTTTACAGGCGATGGAAGCAGGCGGTTAGCACCAGGCTGGCCAGCGACGTCATGGTGCGGTGGTGGTTGAATGGGAAGGGACGGAGGTGAAAATGCTACGGACGCGCCGGTGCAGTATTTGGTGTTAGCGTAATACCTTCCGCTGCAGTTTCTCAGTGGCAGTTTTTTGGTCAGCATAGCAGTCTCCTCGTACTCGCCGCGCGCTCAGTCCGCCTCGGGATACTGTTGTAGCCACTGATGCAGTCTCGGCCGCGCCCGAGCCATGGTGGTGTTAGTGCTGTCACAATGCAGCCTCCAGCGTCCGGGTTGTGCCGCCTCGGCATTTTTACTTTGATGTGACTCCTTCATGAGGGTCAGCTGTCTCTCAGAGAGAAAACTCAACATTCTATTGATCTATGCGTAGAAATGAATGCCTCCAAAGTCATGTCTTTGGATGTTTATGCTCTTGAATTTGCCTCTTCATCTAGAGCACGAAAGACCAATCAATCATAGTTGAACTGTTCCAGCAAACCGTTTTATTGAACTACAAAAAGTCAACGATGAACTTCTTCCAACAACTCAGTCATGACCATCTCAAGCGATGGTTGAAGCAAAAACACGGCCATTAATTTGAATAAGTAGCACAGCAGTTCCTTTGTCGTAAAGACATCGACGCTGCCACGGTTTTGCCGCGGGCGGTTCGACGTGACCGCGCGCTAAATAACGCCACCGACCCCGGGCTGACAGGGGTCAACTGGCAATTACATCTCCGCGCGTGCAATTAGGGCATCCGCCGGCGGAGTGGCGCGCCATAATTAGCCGCGCGGCCGTGTCGGCGGTAATTTCAGCCGCTCAGAGGCACCGCCGACATTCCAGTGGCCTGTGTGACGTCCGCGGCCAGCCCTCCGCGGCCACTGTGGGCTCTGCACCAGCGCCAACCGTCTGCGGCTCCTGCGGCCCCTGCACTAGCCGTCTGCAGCCTCTGTGGCTGCCGCAACGAAGGTTCGCGGCCACTGCGGCCACCGCATCGAATGTCCGTGGTCAGTAAGTCCCAGGCCATCCTACGCCACGGCCTCCCAAATCCTCACCTTTTCATACAGTCCCAGCGGTGCGCCTCTATCCCGTACGGACCTCTCCTGCCGAAACAGCTCCGCGGGACTCCAGTAATTGGCGTCGGAGGCAATTCTCCGAGTCTCCACGGCGTCCTAGAAGCTCCCCGAGGCTCCATTGGCGCTCGATGAGCCTCCCCGAGGCTCCGTAGCGTCCGATGCGGCCGGTAACGATGAGGAAGCGGCGGGTCTCGGCATACCATCCGTAGTGCACCACTCAGCGGCGCGGCGGCGCGGCCATTTATTGGTGGTGGAGTGGGCCGCCACCAACCGGCCAGGAATCCGCCGCCGTCGTATTGAAGCCTGCCGCCGCTGCCGACCGGGCCGGCGCGCCGGGGCGCGGCTTTGTGGCCGCGCTCACGCCACGGCAGGCCGCTTTACAGCGTCCGATACATCGGGCCGGGGAATTTCACGCCCTATCATTCCCACTCGGGCTCGGGCGGCCGCTGATTCACGGCCCAGTGTCAGCGGGCGCCGACAGAGGGCGTTTTTGCCGGCGTCGGCCGCGCGACTGGCGCGTCGATGGTGAATGGTCGCCAATGCAGCGGAGAAATGGCGGCGGTGGCAGCGGTCCCGACGGCGCCAGTATATCGGCCCTCGGCCGCGCCCGCCTCTCAGCCGGTGCGTCGGCCGGCCCGAGGTGTCGGTGTCGGGTCACACCGCCGGAGCGTCTCCCCGGCCAACAATGGCCGATCACCAATCGACGCGCGTCGCGTCGCGTCGTTTTTGTGCCGTCGGCGCGGCGCCGGAGCCCGGCGGCGGGCCATTACAGGGGTGGGCCGCGCTGCCTTGGCCATCATTTCGGCCCCATTATACAACTGCCATGCCGACTGGTGCCACTTTTTCCCGTCGTTTTTACGTGTCTCGGACAATGGCAGATAACGCCATAAAAGGGAATGACTGTCCGGTCGTAAAGGTTTGGCTGATTGTGTCGGAAATCGGATCGGTCGCGCGAGTTCTCGGGAGGGGGGGGGGGGGTAACAATCGCAGATAGCACTACGACACTCCATCCACGATGTGATAATGAGAGTCGACCTGTCTGAGGCGCCGCCGCCAGCCTAGCAGCGCGATACCGCACTGAAAGGCGCGCGATAACCCGCACCAGCCGCGTGCAGCACCTCAGCGTCCATCGGTCCAGGAGATAACCCCGACAGGCCGATAGTCTGATCAACTGGCGCCCAGCGGACGAGATCAGACCGACCAGAGGCGCTCAGCGGCGCAGTCCTTCGGCACAATGGCAGACCGGAACACAGGCGCAGACCCGAGACACAGGGCCGACTCTGACAGCACCCCTAACGAGCGAGGGGGGACGGTTTTCCTTCCAAGAAGCGCTGTCTTGGCGTGAGAGGAGACTCCAGGAATGTGTCGCGTTGTCGCTTTGTCGCTTTGTGTTGTGGTCTGGAAACTGGCGGAGGACAGCGGGATTTCGAGGTAGTTATAATTGGTCGTAAACGTTAACAGCAATAAACCGCGCCTCGAGAACAGCAGAGAGGACTGCCTGCCAGAGTCCCGATCTGACCGCGCCTGACCTTCGGCCGCCGAGCCGGATATATCGGTCCGGTCTAAGCCTCTACAATCACCACTCACCAGTCCTTATCCACCCAATACTTCCCGTATACTAATCCCTGACTAAACCCAACAACTATTGCCACCATATCCAGGCCACTAGACGTCACGACATCGTCTAGAAAACTCGGCACTTCCGTCCACAGGTGATCGTGGTCTCACATAGGAACGGAGCCTGAGCTGCGCGCAGTCTTTTCTCGGTACCTGTCGGCGCGGCCGGGTCGGCCGAGCGGGCGCGGGTCGGCCGGTGACCCCCGTCCGGGCGCCGGTCACCGATACCATCTGCCAGTCGACCGAGAGCGCCGCCCATCCGGCCATCTACAGCTGACTAATTAAGATCTGTCATGCACCGTCTGAACGGACCGGCCGGCCCGACCCGCGCGCCGCACGCAACGGACCGGCGTCGGCCGGGGCCCGATCGGCGGAGACCCTCGCCCGGTCCGCGGAGACGGCCTCGCCCGGTCGGTGGAGACCCTCGCCCGGTCCGCGGAGACCCTCGCCCGGCCGGCGTAGACCCTCGCCCGGCCGGCGGAGAACCTCGCCCCGTCGCGAGAGTCTGGTCCTGTGGAAAAGGACCAGCTTTTCTCGGGACACGATATTTGGCTTTCATTGGTCAAAAGATATCCCAACTTTCAAATGGATGGATCTGGTCTCTGTTTTTGAAACAGTCCTTTGAATTCAAATTCGTGAAAGCCACATATCATTAAACGTTGTTATATCCATATCCTAGTAAAATAAGAAATCAAATGCTCCCAGTTGAAGGAGATGCCAGGAAGAGGCTGGCATTTGCTTTTAAAGCTAACGAGGCTGTACGATGG